CTGATTATAAGCTATAATGAATATTATTATACTAATAATATTAACTATGAATATAATATTGAATTAATTATAATATAGAAATTATGTTTATTTATATTTTACTTTATGGTATATATATTATTTTAATTGTATTTAGTTATATGTTACAAGTATGTAATCCTATTACCGTTAATTCCATGGTAATTGAAAGTGTTAGGTATATGAAATAATATTTAATAAAATTAAGAAATATCTATTATTTTATTATTTACTCATTTACTGGTAGTATAATTTGATATGGTTACTATTAGAATTGTCTGCCTATAATGTATATATGAATATGGTATAGATAATAGTAATTAAAATGAAATGTTGTAAATAAATAAATATATGTATATGATTCATGTAACCAACGTTTTTCTCGATAAAAAATTCGAACAGTGAAGGCATTAAACAATATAAATGTAGTTTAAGTCATTGACATAGTCGTCTTATATGTCAATTTTGTTAAGAACCATTAACTAAAACTACTTAAATCGAATTTCACTAGAAAGTCCCTAGACCGACAAACCGTAAGGAAAAAACGAAAATTTCAACGTCACATTGCACCTTAAATGCCAGAAGTAACAAGGTTACCGTAAGGTTTAAAGTGCAGCGTAAGCTGAATAAAAAGGAGGTTAGGTTAAAGTGCATCTTCTTGAGGGAATGGAATTATCATATGAACCTTCCCACTGTGGTTCAAATTGATTGATCTTTATTAGAAATACCAAATTTCCTTTTACTTTTGCAAATACATACCATAATCTAACAACAAACAGCATTTTTATAATAACCTTATATACCATTTACAACAATACAGTTCACACTATGGTTTTCAGTCTTTTGAAACGTATACATTGTGTGTGCACATTTAACGTACTATATTCTAGATACGTACTATGATCTATATTAGGTACGTAAAATATTCCTTCCTTAACATTATGGGAAAAAATTACTATGAATATAATAAGGGAAATTTTTCGATAACATTTTTGATATTGGAAGGAATATTTATGAGACTACATGAAGTGAAAGTAATTGTGAAAGTAATTTAGAATGCGGCTTTTTTATTGTGGAATATAATTCCGTGCTTAAGTATAATTCGAAGTACCGTGGCCATAGTGCACAATAAATTTCTTTTCCGAATACCAGCAAATTAGGAAGGTCAAGAGAATCAAATGCACAATTGTCGCGTGTTGCATGAGTGAAAAGATTCGGTTTACGATTCAGTTGCAAAAAGCAATTGCATGTCGAAGGTCTATTTCTTAAACTTCATTTTACTTATCGTTAGATGCCTTGTTTCGATCAATTTTTTGCTCATTATCATACTTCAATGTTTATTCTGAGTGTACAATGGCTTTGTCAAATTTTTCTTTATAACCACAAAAATTGAGCGATACATGGAATTATTATGATACAATATGGTAATTTTCTTAATTAATTTTATGATAAGTATATTATATACGAAGCTATTATGCACATATAGTTCCTATTTTATTTTTATTATACTAAAATTGAACGTTGAATGAAATTATTGCGAAAGCTATGAATTATATGTGGGTATTGGTTTTATGAGAGTGTGAGTGTCGGTTTTATAAGTGTGAATGGTATCGAGGTAGAATAAATGAAAGTTATTTGGTATGATATAAATACAGGGTGTCCCAAGAAAACGTATACACACTTTAATACCTTATTCTTTCTAATTTATTTTTTCTTTTCTAGGTACAATCCATTTAAAGTAATGGCTGATTTTAGACTAGACTTTGAAAAACGTAAATATATTTTAAAGTGCTACCATAAGTGTGAAAACATACTGGAAGTGCAAAGACTGTTTAATTAAACAGTAAAATATATACTGTTTTCATAATCACGCAAAATGTGTATACATTTTTTGGGACACCCTGTATAATATGTGCGAGTGGAATCTAGTGTGAATGTTGATAAAAATGTTTAGAAGAATGTGCCAGAATGAAACAGTTACGTGAGAATCATCAAAGAGTAAACATGTGTTAATAAGTGTAAGAGAGAGCGAGAGATAGAGAAGAATTTTCTAGATACTGTGAATCTTTTTGTTTAAAATATTATATTGCGAATTGATGTCAATATTTAAATATTATTATATAAATATATTAATTTGTTAACTGTCATAAAACGTACTAGATATTGGTTTCCATTTCTATCCACATTATGTGCAATTATTACTGTGAATGCTTATTACTATTGGGAGAGGTACATTTTTCAAAATTTTATTTTAAATGTATTATATTCAAAGGCAATGTAAAAATATGTATATCTTTTAATGATGATTTCAAAAATTTTCATCACGTTTTATTCCTCTTACTCGAAAGTTGTAACATGGGACCTAAATATTATGCCTTTGGTATATTATAAAGTCGAATAGCCTTCAATCTTCAAACGACCCTTTCGACATAAATGAATATCAATTTAGGAGAAAATCAATAACAAAAGGATGCAGAGATGTCGACAGCATTCGTAAATGAATTCATTTCTGGCTTATATACTTTCTCCCGAGGACAAGTCATTTCTGAAAGTGGTAGTTCTTTCTAGTATTTGAAAAGATTCCAATTAGCATGACCTATTATAACACTGTTCACAAAAATTGTCTCATTACTTCGACACCAAAATAATTTATCACTTCGATATACACAATTGCATGATCAACATCTTAGTACGTACTTCTTTCGTATACAAAATATTCAAATCAAATGAGACGAAATGTTAGCATAAAACGAAATGTAATCTATTACGATACTCTAAATATTTATTAACATGATAGTACTAATCATAATATCGTCAACTCCCAATGTAGTTTCAAAATGTTCATCAATCTTCTACAAAATAAAATTTTTCTTATGAACTATCCATTTTCCAACATTCATTACGTCACATGAGATTAATTTCACTTTTATGGTATACATAAATTAATTAACTTGCTCGTTCTTCATCGTTTTATTCACAATTATGATTTAAATATCAGATTTGAAATTATATGGAAATTCAACGCATTGCCGCAATAACAAATTATTTCCTTCCTTCCAGAATGCTAAAGAGGTGATTGGATATCGAAGTGGAGGTGTCAGTGGTCTTGAATGTTACTGCCACCGCAATTTTTGCCTAGTGAAATGGAGATAAATGGAACGGACAGCAGCCTAAATGGCACTGAAACTAATCGTACTACCTTTCCAGGCTTCATTATTAGCCCGCATTACATCACGCAATGGTGAGTACATTTCGAATTTGACTATCTTTATGATCTATCTCATTTTTATATATTTAATGTTTCGATATTTGCAAAGTAAAGCTACGAAGTGCCAGAAGTTTGAAAAGCTGCTCGGTTTGAAAGTCGAATTTCTTTTCAAACGTGAAATTATTATTATTGTTTTTATTATTAATATTATTATTAACGTTAAATTATAACAACTTGTGCGTATAATCCCAATTGTATAAAAAGTTTAGTTGGAATTGAATAATTCAAAGAGCATAATGCATAATTGTATAACACGTGTTATGAAAAGAACTAGGTTTTAAAGCTGAAGAATATTTTCCACCCTTTAGTGGAAATATATTTACTTTCTTATTATCAGGAATACCAGGATTGTGAAACATAACTCGTCAATATATTTAAATTTAAAATCATTGAAACAATATAATTAAAAAAAAAATTAATATTATATCGGATCAAATATTATCTTTGCAATTGAATAATTATTTTTATTAATTTATTGATTTTTGTAGTAGAATTTTTAAATAATATTCAATATCCTTGTAATTAATTTGAATGTGATTATGTTAAAGGAAGTTAGATCATTGCAGGAATTTATTTAGATAAAGAAAGGTTAATCGAGTAATTAATTATTACTATAAATGTAAGAAATGTACATTTAGATAGACTTTTAAAAAATGATTCATTAATAAAATATATTGTAGATTGAATAATGATTCGTCCTCAACTTTTAAATTAAAAAATTTTCACAATTTTCCAGTCATGTGACTATCGTTCTTTCACTTGGTGTGTATGTCACGCTCCCTCTCTCTCTCTCCCTCTCTCTCTCTCTATTGGAATATGCTAATACCTAGACCATTGTAAAAACTGGAGGGTTCGATATATTAGGGCGCCAAACACGTTTACAATTTATAACATCCAAGTGACGAGCAAAGAAAACAAATTTCCGTCCTCAACCAAGGAAAAACCCAGAACCTAACTTCCTCTGGCGACTTCACATTTACGTCCGCCATCACACCCCAAATACTATTAATTTTCTTCACTCTCTACTACCATTTCTCTCTCTAACAGACCAATGGAAAGTGTCTGTGACACTTTAAAGTAAAAATACTTGTAAATAACAGGTTTCAGTTTAAATTGAATTCTTATTCATGATATATAGATTGTAATTGTAATTATGATAGACTGGATTAAATTAAATTGTCATCATTAATAAATCTCTACCTTTAATTCTGTTTGCCTAATCAGGCAAATAGCAATCGGCTTGCAAAAGGTACTTGTAAAGTATCGCATAGCAAATTGACTTTTGAAAATTGAATGTATGCAACAGTTTATTATTAAGTTTACACTAAATTACTGTAAATGAGAGTAGAATATTTTTGTCGAATATTTTTAAATTATTAAAGGAAATAAATAATAATTCTCCCTCATGGAGAGAAGTATTGTTTCAAATGGTGAAATTTGTGAAATTTCTTTACTAGACAAATGTAAATTATAGTTTTATTTGAAAATTGTAAATCTCAAAAGTTGCATAAAGATCGACCAAAAATTACAAATTTTTATTAGGAACTTGCAATATTAGGAATATTGGAGAATATCTATGTCTAATTAGTAATTACTAATACTTATAATTATTATTAATTATTAAATTACTAACAATTTAGAGTAAAAAATTTGTCTGGAAATTGTCGAAGCAATTTAAGTGATATTTAACAAACACAAATAATTAATAAAACTAATTAATGTAGAGTATAAATAGCATAACACGATTAATATGTTAGAAAGGTACCATTATTTTATTATAAAAGAATTTATAAAATAATCTCACAGAGAGAAAATTCATATTTCCTTTACTAACGAATATTCTCATTTCTCTTGAAAGTTTTAAACAATAGACCGTAGCTTTTGTATTGTTCTTTATAATATGAAGTTTATTCTAAAGCAGAAACTCTTGTTCTTATATGTTTAACTTCCATAACGTATCAAGGGATAAATTTTAATTAACAGTGGTATTCAATCAACCAAATAATGACTTTCCAAATATTGATTATTGCGAATGTTTATACAATCGCAAATTTGGTTTAGTTTCTTGCTTTATTTACATAACCACGCAATCCAACAGCTTCATGAAAATAACAGTATATACTCATATCGATAAACAAACTAATTAAATTAAAATCGTTTAACAAATTTCAGCATGATATATAAATGTGTAAATTTAAAAAATATTATAAATTAATGTCAACTTTACTATTTTATTGGTACAAATAGAGATACCTGTCACTTCCACGAAAATAATACTGAACACATATTCATATCGATAAATAAAATATTTATAATTACATTAATTATATTCAATTTATTTAACAAATTTTAATATATTATATTATTTATATAATTTATATACTATATTTGTAGTATACTGTATACTATATTTATAGTATAGTATACTAGATTATAATTAATATACAGATAGCTCTAGTACTACACGGTATCCTATAACACGGTGTCACTAATCACGATTCATAAATTGCGGTAACCTTCCTACAATACGGTTTCACAATAACACGAATCAAAAATTGCAGCAACCCTCCTAAAACACGATTTCACAATAACACGATTCATAAATTGCGGCACCCCTCCTGCAACACGGCAATCTGTAACACGGTTTCACTATAATACGATTGATAAATTGAGGCAACCTTCCTACAACACTGCATCCTATAACACGGTTTCACACAACACGGTATTTTCTAGGAACCTATCTACCGTGTTACCTGTACTATAAATTTAAAAAATACATTAATGACAATTTCATTACTCTTCCTATATAATTAGAAGAAGCTAACGCTTATATAAATTTATAAAAATAACACATATAAAATTAACAAATTTTATTTATATTTAAACCTTCAGCTTAATTTTATGAGAATATAATACACAAGAAAGTAAGTTCAAAAGACATAAATCCGACCGAACTTTAAATATTTTAAATTGCATTTTTAATCTTGTACCCAATGCAAGGAACTGCCTTTACCCATATTGTTTACCCTCACTATTTCCAATAGTAATAACGTTTCAGGCTTAAAACGAAAGTCGTGGTGACTATAATCGGACGTAGAACGAAAGTTTCTTGCATCAAGTAGCTGCGACGTATATTTATGGAATAATCACTTTCGGTGAATTACTTCGCTCACTTGCAAGTATTCAGCCAGTGCTTGCCACACGCGAAATTTTCGAACTGTTTCGCTTAAGGATATGAAGTTACGAAGCAATTTAGCAGGAGGTACGAAGCATTTATAAATCCGAATTACTCTCTGTAATGGGTACGAAAGAAATGTTGACCTACATTTTCCTTAACATTAACTCGCACCATTAATACTTCATCAAGGATTATTAAACAATCTCGATGAAAAAATGCTGCGTTCCGCAACAATATTTTTAAACGAGTCACGAGATTATCAAAATAATGGAAAATTTAGCGAATGTATTTTCGATTGTATCAACATTCAGTTTTCTCTTTAAATTGTAATTCGATGTTCATCGTACCAGAAATCGAATATTGTCGATATTATTTTGTTTCTGATTTCCTGTTTAAATGAATAGATGTATATCTACATTTTCGAATAATTTAAATGAGATGAAAATATTTTATTATTAACGTATTATTATATTTCTGTATTTAATAAGTTCTCTGCTAGTGTTTAATCAAATTTTCTTTTTAATTAGAAAGTTTTGTGCATTTTATTTTTATTTTTCGATAATATATTGTTATATAAACTCCTTCCTCCATTCAATTTTATTCATAGGTATACCTAAAAATGTCGAATCACACTTGACATTTCTAAATATATTCTCAAAATAATTAATGATCAATTAGTGAACCAAATTTCTACGAATTGTCTTCTATCAATTTACTATTGTTTATTTTAATGAAAATAAAATAAAATAAAATATTAAATTAAAATACCTGAAATAATAGAGTTAGTGAAAATGTCAGGAAAAAGAATAAAAATAATTTAAAGAAATAAAATACGAAGTATCAAATAGTGAAATAATCAGGAAGGAAATTGAATAAGAATTAAGAGTGCAAAGGGATAATGGAAAGTATGGCTTTCGAGTATTTCTGGTGGACTTTAAAGATGGCTGCTCTTGCGATAAACCTTGGTCACCACTGGGATATACAATTTTTAAGCAGAAATCAAAATTCGATGCTCATGCGATTTTAGAATTTAATGTTTACGTCGGCTGGATGGTTTTTCGAATTTCAGGCGACCGCGTTGGTCGTAATCTATCGGTCGTTGCTTCCGCAAATGCTCATTATCGAAGAGTAATAGCATCATGTGGTTTCTCTCGTACAGCTGATATTGGTTGTCTGCGGGGATGCTTAGGAAACACCAAGGTTGGAGGAAATGAACTTTCGCGGGGACGAAAACGAAGACAAAAATTTTCTTGTGGGTCTTGTTCCTTTTCGAGACACCATTGTTCTTCTGGTCGCGCTTAATGAGTACCGCTGTGCATGCGGTAAATGGGTGTTCGTTTCGGTCCTGTGGCTGTTGAAATACCTCCAGGACGATGCATCCTTTCTGATACAAGAGTAATAAATCTTTGAAAATTCGTAAATCCGTGTACATTACAAAACAATGGTGCAAATTTCAAAATGAAAATAAAATTTCAAAGAAAGTGACGAATATAGATATTTACTCTTAGCAACTATGTAATTTAATTTGAAGATTTTATTGCGATGAACTTTCGATTACTGTTCGTGTTATTAGTAATAAATTAGTAAAATATTATTTTTTATTATTAGTAATGTTATTATATTATTAGTAAAAAGTTCGTGTTATTAGTAAGAGTAATAAATCTTTGAAAATTCGTAGATCCGTGTACATTACAAAACAATGGTGCAAATTTCAAAATGAAAATAAAATTTCGAAGAAAGTGACGAATATAGATATTTACTCTTAGCAACTATGTAATTTAATTTGAAGATTTTA